ACATGTGCCCCCTCATCTTCATGTCTCTTCTACATCAACATGTGTCCCCTCTTCTCCATGTCTCTTCTACATCAACATATGTCCCCTCTTCTTCATGTCTCTTCTACATCAACATGTGTCCCCTCTTCTTCATGTCTCTTCTACATCAACATGTGTCCCCTCTGTGTAAAGAGACTATGAAAGTTTCAGGAACAAAGATTCTCTCTCTTTTTGATCCATTTCTATAAAAACCTGTCTGAAAATGAGCTGATCAGATTTTGGCCACTTTATGATGTCATAACGATGTTTTGTCTTGTGTAACCATTAGCCAATCATCAACCAAGGTAACCCCCCCCCCTCCTTATCACCTGAATCTCCTCCTAGAGCACCATTGAGTTCTTTGTAACCAAATGTCTCTCGGAGGGGCGTGGGGAGGGGCTCCTTATTTTCATCTAAAGTAACAGACAGAGAATCAGCACTTTTGAAACAGGGCTGAAACAGAGGGGATTATGGGTAATGCTGCAATGATCTGTTTGGTGTTTGTGCCAATCAGAGACAGGCTCTGTATATATCTGAGACCTGTGATATATTGATGAAAAACAGTATAATAGAGGACCTTTAAGTGTTTTAGTTGAGGTAGGATAAACATTGTAAATTGTCAAACCATGCATTAATAATTCTTCAGGTTGCGGCTCCTCCTCAATTCTCAAACAAGGTAAATATCAAAATTACATTTTTTTTATGAGTTTAATTTGGCAAACTTTAAACATCATAGCAATTGGTTTTTAATTAAATAATATTGTGTTTGTTGTGAACACATCGACCTGTCAAACCTGATTTAATACATTTCTCTTTTAGTTTTTTCATGTTTTACTTGGTGACCTCACCACGCATTAACTTCATATTATATTTACTAAATGTACAGATGGACATTTCCCATGTTAGCACAAAGTATAAATAATCACCAACAAGTTTTACTCTTCCTTTTGATCTATATGGTCAATAGACCTCATTTACACAAAATCAGATCTAATTTCTGAGTTTAAAATGGCTAAAATATTGAATGATTTTACAAAATTGAACCCAAAAGACCACAAATGCTATCTTATGTTTAAAAAATGTTGGCACTAACATTAAAAACAACCTTTATCCCGACGAGGCAAATTAGCAGGGACAACAGGATGGGTAAAATAGTGCATTTTTCAGCTCCTATGTGCCACTGAGCAGCCAGAGTGCTCGCTGTTGTCTGACCTGAAGATGAACTCAGCGCTGAGGCAGATGGATTCTGAGATGCAGGATGAAAGTGTTGAATATTGCATGAGTAGATACGTTACACTCTTCCTTCATGTGAGGGCCACCAGGAGCAGGGGAACTCCGACTCATGTCAGATCTACCATTCCCAAAAAACATGCAACAGTCCTTCTTCCTGCAGGAATGGAGTGGAAATCCCCTCTCGTTCAGGATGCGGGGCTGCAGAGGAGAGAGAGGAGGAAGAAAGCACAGCGGTACAAATAATGTTCCACTACAACAGCAGCTGTGACCCGTATCAGATGCAGAGAGGGCAAAAGTACACACATCCTTTACTCAAGTAGAAGTACAGATACTCGTGTTTACAAATACTCTGGTAAAAGTAGAAGTACTGACTAAACTTCTTTACTCAAGTCAAAGTAAAGAGGTCTTTGAAATGTACTTCAGTAAAAAGTACCCATAACTAGCAGCTGTTTTAAAGAGTACCTGACCTCCCTTTATATTAATAGAACAATAATGTCATTGTTAGCTAATGAATGTTTCCATGCTGAACAACGGCAACATGACAATGTTTCCATTGGTCCCTCTTCTTTAGAGAAGACCAGGAAATGATGGATACACGGATCGTGTTCAAATCAATAGGCACGCAATGACTCTAAATAATAATGATCACGCCACCAAACGCACATTCAAACTAAAGGAACCAGCCTGTTTGGAAAATGTAAGAAGTAGAAAGTACAGGTATTTGTGTTCAACATGTAAGAAGTAGAAAGTACAGGTATTTGTGTTCAACATGTAAGAAGTAGAAAGTACTGGTATTTGGGTTCAACATGTAAGAAGTAGAAAGTACTGGTATTTGGGTTCAACATGTAAGAAGTAGAAAGTACAGGTATTTGTGTTCAATATGTAAGAATTAGAAAGTTAAAAGTCGTCAGTAAAATAAGTAGTGGAGTAAAGTACTGAGACCAGAGAAATGTATG